TCAGGGTTGATCACAATGTGGCGATCACGTATCATATCATCAGGAAGTTCGAAAACGGTGATAAAATCACGGACCCAAGTATTGCATTACAAAAGAAGGTGATGAAGTTTCTGCAAGAGACATTTGACTTGTTGAACTGTAGCGAGTGGCATATCGGGGGGCATATCAAATCTGTTCAAGCGTATAATCGTTGCATCGTATTCATTTTGTGGAGCAAATGCTCATTGACGATCAGGTTTTGGAAATAGAGGGTCTAGATTTTGATGTAGTTGACCGATGATTTTGACCATACATGGCCAAGCGCTTAGAGGAGGTTGTGGCTCTCGCACAATTTGCGATGCAAGCGCAAGAGTGTTATTGAATTGTTGTGCACGTGATCAGAGCCATCTTCCTTGTCGAGTGTTAGCTTTCCCATAAACGGATAATTTGAGCGGCAACTGTATTAGGGGGAGGATATTCCCAAAGCGGTGGTTGAACGTTGCCTCGGCAGCAGCACAGTGTACTCCATGTGCTTTCATGTTGCGGGTTTTTAGCAGCGCAGTGAGCACAAGTTGTTCTATTGCCAAGATTGACAATATCCACTTGAATGTGTCGTGAAATGAGTGTTGCGGTGTGAAGGCGTCCAACATTTGCGCGTGCCAGAATGTGTTGAATTTGCGTTTCTCTATAACGTTGTTGTCGTTGTGTATGTGTTGTCCTCGCTCTTTAAGCACCTGCACATGAGTATTCGACTGCAAGGAATGTAAAGCAGAACAGAAAGGCAAGGAAAGAAAAGCACATGACAATTGGTAAAAATGAGCTTCGATTTTCAAACTGGGAGGATTTTTTTGTTTTTGATTTTATTCAAAATGAAACGGTCCAGTTTAGTTCTGTTCGAGAATATTTCATGATTGTAATCATGCACGAGAATGAAGTGGAATAGGTGGGGACACGAAAAGCCATGCAAATGTGAATATGATAGAACATGCAATTTATGTGTGTGTATGTGTATGTGTGTGTGTGTGTGTGTATGTGTGTGTGTGTGTGTGTGTGTGTGTGTGTGTGTGTGTGTGTGAGAGAGAGAGAGAGAGAGAGTGGCGAAGTGGCGAACTGCGGTCAAACAGCTCGTGTGATCCAAGACGAAGTCAAGCATAGTATCAAACGCACGCACAACAATGGTCCAAAACAGATGCAAAACTTCATGAAATCACAAAAGGAGCAACATGTGGATCCCTCGACCGGCTTCGCCCGCCAACCGGGCATCCTCAGGAGGGTGACTCTAATGAGCCTTCGTGCTCGAAAGGGAAGCTCCAGCCTTGCTTCCCGAGTTATATAGTCAGTGTCTGCATCCTCCGACCCTCTTCTCACCCCGTCTCCTACAAGAATCTCTCAAAATTTCAGGATCCCAAGATAGTACCCATCGTCGCGTCGGGCGCACCCATCCTGTATCCTGGTTGCTTATGGTACATTTGCATTTCCGAAACAGAGTCCCTAACTAATTCACAATTCAAAATCAAAATCAAAACTCAAAAATCTGCCAAGCCCCTAATTAAGGCAGCCGCATGAGCCGAAAGTCCAAATGATGAGGTCTACACATCCCTACGGAAAAATCCCTTGTGGGATCCGACGGTCCTACTTCCAAAATGGTTTCTGCCAACGTCCTAATGAAGACCGCCGCAGGAGCCGAAAGTCAAAATGATGAAACTGCAACAACCCATTGAAAACCAGCCGGGGTATCCGAAAGTCTTACTTTCAAGAAAGGCAGGCGGGGCAGACCCGCATCCTCCCTAGGATCCGTATAGATACCTGATCGTTGTCTCCTGCCTAGTCTAGCTGAAGTCGGTCTCCCCAGGGATTTATGTCCGAACCGTTTATGCGTTCGACGTCCTGTACCCCTCGTAGTACTATAACTGAGTGAAACGAGTTACCGAAAAGCTAAGCCGTGAAAACCAAGTAGAAATAGAAATAGACTAGGATAAAATAGGATAGAACTCAGCGGGCCGTATTTCCGTTCTGGACCCGCCTATCGTGTCTTTCCCTAACCTGGCTGGCCGAATTCATATTCAGCGTCAACAGGCACAGTAGTACTCAATTTGGGACAGCCATGTGGTACGGTACTACCACACAGAGAGAGAGAGAGAGAGAGAGAGAGAGAGAGAGAGAGAGAGAGAGAGAGAGAGAGAGAGAGAGAGAAAGGGAAAGAGAAAAAGAAACACAGAGAGAGAGAGAGAGAGGTGAGGTGGAGAGAAAGAGACGGAGACACACAGAGGGGGAGAGAGAGAGAGAGAGAGAGAGAGAGAGAGAGAGAGAGAGAACTGCCAGTTCACGGATAGTAGAGCAGTGTTCTTTGCAGACCTGAACGTGCCAGGTTGGTTTCAGTGCCGATGTATTTTATTCACGGTACTCGGTTTGTCGTATTTAAGGAGAGGCCGAAAATGGGTTCTCCAGGTCCCTGGCGTCATGTGCTGGTGGTTCAAAGTGACAGTTCATCCACGGTAGAACACTACGGGAGAAAGTATGATTAACTTGGACCGAATATGAAGGTTTGTTGATGGCGAGGCATGACGTATGGGGCATGTTGCGGGTGGCTTCAGCATGAAAAAAAGAAAGGAAAAACAGGAGAGACAAAAAAGGAATGAAGTGAGGGAAAAAAACAAAAAATGTTTGGTCGCCGGTGGCCTCAGCGTGAAAGGGAAATTTTTTGAAGTGCCCCTCAAGTTTGCGTTTTTTTGCGTTTTGCCCCTTCGACGAACGACTTACCCTGATTTGCCCATGGGAACTTTCGTGCAGGCCCCTGTCAGTGAGGGGCACAACTTTTGGGAATGCCCCTATCGGACCGCCGGTCCCATTTCCAGTGGTGGATGTTTGATTTGCCCTTTCGCGATGGATGCATCTTCCTGGGATGCCCTCCAACGGGGAGGCCCTAAGAATTTGAATTCAAACTCCTTGCTTTCCAGGCCGCCGCCACGCAGAAAAACAACACTCCACTCCGCGTTCTGTCCACTGCTGCAATCCACCATGGAGTTCATTCTTCTACTACTGCGACCAGCCGTCACCTTCGACGTCCTCGGAGTACGTTGCCAAAGGTGAGTGTTCCTCCCCTTCTTCCACGCCTCTCTCTCTCTCTCTCTCTCTCTCTCTCTCTCTCTCTCTCTCTCTGTGTGTGTGTGCGTGTGTGTGTGTGTGTGTGTGTGTGTGTGTGTGTGTGTGGCACGATTGTCACTATCACAACCCCGTTCAGCACGGTCATGGGGGGATGAAAATTGCCCTGCTCTGTTGCTCTTGCCTTGCCGCACTGCTCAGTGCTCACCTCTGTCGCTCTCGGCATGTGTGCACGTGTACACTTGTGCATGCATGCACAAAGTCGTGCCATTGGTTGCTTGCCCCATTAACGCCCCGCCACGACCAACAAACCACATCCTTGAAACTGTCGGAGTTACTGCCACCGCCACCTCGTTTACTTCCACCTCCCTCTCCTCTTCCCCCTTCACTCCTTTGTACTGCTGCTCTCTCTCTCTCTCTCTCTCTCTCTCTCTCTCTCTCTCTCTCTCTCTCTCTCTCTCTCTCTTTCTCTGAGAAAGTTGTGGAGCTAGGAGGGTGATGTACAGCAGAGCACATACCATTAGAGATGGCGGTACCCAACAGCTTTCCGATAGGGGCATACTGGAAATTTGGCACCGGTACCGGTAGGAGCATATTGAACATATTTCAGTCCCAAACGACCCCAAGGTTTTTTTGGAAACTTGAATCGTTGTCAGAGGGGCAAATCAGGGTAAGTCGGCCGTAGGAGGGGCAAAACACAAATAAACACAAACTTCAGGGGCATTTCAAAAGTTTTCCCAAAAAAAAAAGGATAAACAGAAGAGACAAAAAAGGAATGTACTCGGGGGAAAAAACAAACAATTTTGGGTCGCCGGTCACTTCAGAATTCGTCTTTTTGTTCTGTCTTTCCTTCGAAAGACAGAACCGAATGTTTATGCCTCTTATGCACACCACGACAACACAGTCCGAGAAGCCGCAAAAGACACACCCTGGAAGAGAAGCAAACAACAGATCGAAGTTCAAAAACTCATGCTCAGATCCAAGGATATCCATAGCCAGCCACAAAAACGAGCACCGGTGATGTCCCTCGACCGGTTTCATCTGCCCACCGAGCAAAACTCATCAGGAGGGTGAACGCAAGTTCGTGTGCCCAAAGAGGAGGCTGAAGCCGTGCCTCCCCTATTTAACAGATCTTCCAAAACCTTACTAACGAAAACCCAGAACGCAGCGTACCCGCCGAGTCCACCTACTCGTGTTGAGTCCAACGTACGACCCTACTCTTCTACCATTCGTCGTTATGGCGACAGCCCAGATTTAACTACTCATAACGAAATGTAGCCGAAATGCTTACCAGGTTCATTACCTGCGTCGTCCAAAATAAATCCGAAGTTTCTGAAAA